ATGTCCTCAAGATACAGGTCCAGGCTCAGGTTTTATCAAGAGGCATTGCCTCAAAGGAGATGGCCACGCACCAGAGCAGCAAGCACAGACTTCCCACAGAGGTATCTAAAGCTTCAGTGACAGAAGCTCACCCAGGCCACACTTGCCTAGGGAAGCTGGGGACTCTCCATCACCGGAGGTGTTCAAGGACAGGGTGGACAGCCACTGCTTGGGAATCATCTAACTGTAGTGATGCCCATGTACTACCATAGGGATTTCCCAGGCTTCTGGGCTTTGCTGGTTGTCCCCTTCCCCCTCTTTCTACATGTGTCGGGGGGTTTTAAAACTTCCTCAGAGCTGTTGGCTGCAGCCCAGGCTGGGGATGGTGACTGGGTTGTGCCAATGCTCCTGTTGGGACTTAAAGCCAGAGGTCCCTGGTTAGAGAGCTCAGGGTTATGCTGATGCTGCATTTGGGGTCAGGAAGGAGTTTTACCTCCAGGTCAGATTGGTAGGGATTGCAGGGGTTCCCTTTCCTCTGTAGCAGGGGGCACAGCCTTTACGTAGGATCTAAGCATATATTACTGTTTTATAGAAGCAGGTCATTGGCTGCCATGGCCCCCTGCTTTACCTGTGGCAGGGTTGGGTGTGATATCTGGTGTTGTGTCAGGGTTGGGGGTAGTTTTACAAAGAGGTTGGACAATGGATTTGTCTGAGATGGTTTAGACAGGGCTAATCCTGCCTCAGGCAGGGGGCTGGACTCAATGTGACCTCCACAGATCCTTTCCAGCTCCAATTCTCTGTGATTCAAGGACCCATGCCTCTCGTGCAGAGCTCTTCAGGGAAGGGCACTGGCTCTGTTTTGTTGACAGAGGCTGCAACTAAGGGTCACACCAGCCAGGCAGACGCCAGAGGTGCCCTTGCCCACTGGCTCTTCCACCTCTCCCGCTATCAGCTGCACATTTGGAAGAGAGTCAGTGTGTGCGTGCACACATCCACCAGCACAATGCAAAGCACACAGCACATAATGCTCAGCCTGGTTCTCTCCTGCCCTGTCTTACCAGAGGCAGCTGTGGTCTCTGTGCTTAGAACAATGCCCCTTCCCTCCAAGCAAGCCCACCTCAAAGCTCTAACCCCTCATTCCCCCAACCCAGGAACACATCTCCAGTTCCCTGAACCAAGGCCACCCCATTGCTCTGGCTGCAGGAGAGGTCTCCATTGCTTGGTCTTGCACTCACTCACCTCCAACTCCCACTAAGCATCTTGCTCACTTTCTCTGGAGCCTGGAAGCATCTCATTACCCCTATGTAAAATCCTTTCCAAACCCTTCTTGCCAACCTGTTTCCCCAG